CACCAGTGAACTGCCCTTGCCACTGTCTCCAGGAACCTGACTCCAGCCGATGCTGATGTAGCTAGAAATCACATCCAGCCAAGCGAATTGTCCAAGTTTTTCCATAAAGCATCATCCCCACAGCATGGAACTGGCACTTGCCTCAGCACTGTTCAGCGCTTCAGGTCTTACTGTAAAGCTTATGCATACAATTTTCATGTCTGTATTTGTAATTCTGCCCTGTGTAACACTTCGAAGGCACTGCCACACTTAGAAATTAGGGCACTATCCATGTATTTTTGCCAAGGACATCTGAAATTTTACAAGCTACTTATTCTTTCAGAAGTGTCTGACTCTTTCATTTATCCCCTACCTGGAATCACAATCATCCCAAGGTGTGTAATCATTCCTGCAGCAACCAACTGATTTCATAGATTATTCTTTCTGTTGAGGAATAAGCAGGAGATGATGAAACCTGCAGGGAAAAAAAAAAAAAAGCATCCTTGAAAACCTTCCCCCATTCCAGCTAAAAAACAGAACAGCAGGAAAACTATACATGTAACCAGTTCCAAACTCATTCTGACAAACAAGTAGACAGATGATAGTCCTAATTCAGCAAAGTACTGCAGTATCTAGACAATATGATGATCATATAATTACAGAATCACAGAATGGTTTGGGTTGGAAAGGATCTTGAGATCATTCAGTTCCAACCCCCTGCAATGAGCAGGGACACCTCACACTAGACCATGTCACCCAAGACTCTGTCCAGCCTGGCCTTGAACACTGCCAGGGATGGGGCATTCACCATTTCCTTGGGCAACCTGTGTCAGCACCTCACCACCTCAGGGCAACCTGTGACAGTGCCTCAGGGAAGAACTTCTGCCTTAGATCTAACCTGAACTTCCCCTGTTCCAGTTTGAACCCATCACCCCTTGTCCTATCGCTACAGTCCCTGATGAAGAGTCCCTCTCCAGCATCCTTGTAGCCCCCTTCAGACACTGGAAGCTGCTCTGAGGTCTCCACGCAGCTTCTCTTCTCCAGGCTGCAGCCCCAGTGTTCTCAGCCTGTCTCCATATGGGAGGTGCTCCAGCTCCTGAGCATCCTCATGGCCTCCTCTGGACTTGCTCCAACAGCTCCATGTCCTTCTTACGTTGAAGACACCAGAACTGCACACAGTGCTGCAAGTGGGGTTTCACGACAGCAGAGTAGAGGGGCAGGATTACCTCCTTCCACCTGCTGGTTACGCTCCTTTCAATGCATGTCTCTCTGAAGTCAGTACTGAGCTACGCTGTCCCCTCTACTTTTCTGAATTTCCTTGACCAAAAGACTCCTTCCTACATGGCAGATACATCAGGAGAGCTAAGTAGGCTTCATGGGTACCACCAACTAGTGCATGTCACCCACAAGTGCAAAGCTAGCACAACTCCAGTGTAGCACTGCCATCCCTCACAGCAGCTCAGGCTAGTCCTAACATCTCCAGAATGCCATTAAATGCATCACCCTATGGGAATAAAATTGGAGCATAACCCCATCTACATATGGGTATCAGGTAGCGGAGGTTCCTGAGATGCAGTTTCTTCCCACATTACCTCCCTTCTCTTGTCCTCCTGATTCCCAGAGGAAGATATCACATGCTTATTAGATACAATCCTGCTCATTGCACTGACTCAATCAGAAATCACAGGGTGCTACAACGCACCCTATGAGCAGGTGCTTCAGAGTGGCAGCCTAACACAGCAGCTCTTAATCTTATATGTGCCACAGCCACTCTCACACAAGGTCAATTGCACCTATGATTAATTCACACAAGCAGAACCCTCAGCTGCCACCTTACACAGCCCTGCAAATGCACAGGCTGCACAAAACTATTGGTAATTAGTTTGTCAAGCAAATGGTAGGGAAGAACAACACTGGTAATTTATACCATAGATATTCAAATGAAACATCTTCCCTGAGTAATTTGATGTCAGAAAGAAGAACAGCAGCAAAGCAGAACAAAGCTTCCCACCAGCTCTTTCTTGAAGGGACATTACTCTAATGTGTTATGAGACAAATTCAGACACAGTAAAAAACACATGTTTTTTTTCACTGAACTCCTCTGGCCAGATTTTGGCATTAAAAATGGTTCTGAGATTATTCATGCATGTCCTATATACAGAGACTCTGGGATGACCAAGGATGCTAGAGTTCAGCCAGAAAAGACCTGTATGGAAAACACTGTATGTTATCCCAAAAGGGAAGATAAAGATCAACTACTGGAAATATATGTTACATTTTAGTTCTTTGCAAAAAAAAAGAGCAGGACTGGTCAGCCTACACCCTTCTTATTTTTCTCCTCACTCTACCACCCTTAGTACTGTCAGAGGTATTGGGACCCTCATCATCTGTTACCAGCAGCTCTCTCCACTATAGACCTAGCTGGTTGTAGTTGTTATTGTTACTTTTGTGTGTGTGAAACAGAATTTCACTTCTAAAATTGCTGCTTGGGTGATACCTCAGTGTTTTGCCAGAGTGTCTTGGATAGTGAACTTCAGGCAAATCAAAAGTGGGATTCCCTGGCTATGCAATGGGCTTCATAGTCACTAACCTGGGACACACCATAAGTTAGAGTGACCTAAGCCTTGGAAATGCCTGTGGTCCTGCCATAGTACTGTGTGTGAAATCCCCAGAAGCTTCAATCTCAGCTGGTGCAGCACCTCATCTCTGCTGAAGCAAGTTTGTGAGCCTTGGTGAGAACTGCAGGATTTCTGATCTTGGGTAGAAATCCATCTCAAAACCTGGTGTTCCAGGGTGCCACCCTGCAAAAGGAGTTCCTCAAGACTTCCACCAGTACCTGTCAGACATCTGGGCTAGCTGACTTAAAGGAACTAACATTTCTCAGACCAGAATCCCACAGTGTTGCTTGGTTTCCATTGCCTTCAAAGCTCTCACCTTAGCAGTCAAGCAGGAGGTGAGAAGAAGGAATTTTTCCTTATGGCAGAAGTTGGGTAAAGCATTTCAAACCTCGCTGCCAATAGATTATTTTATAATATAAAGGATGAGAAGCATATCTTTAGATATGTCCACAGCGGATGACTGGGCAAACTGCACCTCTGTACAAAAAGAAGAAAAGAAGAGTTAATTCTGAGCAAAAAGAAGAGTTAATTGATGGTAGAGAAGAGCTGCTTCATTTTCTGTGAGTATTTATCGATAGTTAGGATACTACATTCAAATGAAATAGGCCTTCTCAGCATCAAGATGATCCATTTTCCTGGCTTGTGTGTTTTAGGATGATTCAGTGTGGTAAACCAGTGTATTCCCAAATGAGCACTGGCTGAGCAAACAGTACCTAATAAATACTCAGCTGTCAATGTCACTTTTCTCCTTTTTCCTCCATCAGGCCTCTTCTTCCTTTCTTTTTGGTGAGAATTAGGAGTGGAAGCTTGCTACTGGCTTGCTACTACTCAGTGAGCTCTTTGGGTCTTGCCATTGATAACTGCATTTCTGTGGAGATAACAAAATCCAGAAAAGGAAAAGACAAGAACCTTTCAAACGCTCCAAATAAAGCTGCTTGCAGAAATGGGCGTTTTTTATTCAACTCATACTAGTAGAGTGCGAGACAGAGATACCAGCACATGTTGGCACCGACATTTCTGGTGAAGAGTAAAACTGGACAAGACACAGGATCAGTTATTCCAACACTCCCTACAAAACCCCTAGTCTGTGTATCTGTTAAGAAACCCTGAAGAGAAGCAGGCCCTTTGGGGAATATATTAGAGAAAAGAAGGACAATTTGGAAACAGTCTGGCCACTGTTAAAACTTCTCTCTCTTTCTTTTCTATTAGGTTCTAACCAATACTAGGAGTTTTCATGTAGATATTATTTCATTCTATTTCATGTAAATACGGATTTTCAAATAATCAATACTAATTCTGTATCCTCTTTTGACTTCTTGGAGACACTTTTTTTGGCACCAGTGTTTCCCACAGGTCTTCTGTGCTCAGTAACAATAAACTCTCATCGCCATTAACACTTCTGGTGTTGACTTTCCTTAAGCTCTTCCTCTCTTACACAAGCCCAGTCTTTCCCCGTGTCCATTTTTGCTTCATTATACCTTGATTTTATATGCCATAATTCACCCACAAACAGCAATAATTATTTTCACAACGTCATCCCTTCTAACAGAAAACTGAGATAGAAACCCTATTCTTGTCACACTTTCCCCATAGAATATTTATTGACAGTGGGTCGCCTTTTTCTGCCAAAGGATAAATAAAATACTAACTATGGGCCCAGAAAGCAAGGCAAGGTCAGCTCCAGGCTGCTCTTCAGCATTTGTGCAGATTTATAACAGATGAATGTGAATTCCTGACTTAGTTTCCTATTTACTACTTTAGCGGTATCTTCTAACAATTCCAGAGGAACTGCTCAGTAGGGTAAAATTAACACACACTGTAACAGTGTTTAACTGGAACAAACTAATCCAGTTACCTAGTGTGACAGTCTAGAATCATAGAACCACAGAATGGTTGGGGTTGGAAAGGACCTTAAGATCATCCAGTTCCAACCCCTTGCCATGGGCAGGGACACCTCACACTAGATCATGTTGCCCAAGGCTCTGTCCAACCTGGCCTTGAACACTGCCAGGGATGGAGCATTCACTCAATGTAACCAATCTAAAAAGCACAGGATGGGTAAGAGGTAATCATGAGAAACCCAGTATTACCCTGTAACCATAAAACAGTAGACATACCTCCTTATTAAAATATTATTAAACTTTTGGCCTCTGTCTGGTGCAGGATCAGTCATCACAGGACTGAACACAAGTCATATTCCCAGCAAGTGAAAGCATGGGTATCTTTAAAAGGGAAAAAAAGTAGTAGAAAAAGTAGACTGGCTTCTACACCACAGCCTTTGTGATTGGAGAGGGGACTCGGAGGCAACAAAGCTGGCTTTGAAATCTCACCTTTTTCATTCATTTCCTGCCAATCCATGAACAAGTCACCTCTCCTCTTGCCTTGATTTCCGCATGAGTAAGCTGGAACTGATGTATGTGTAACAGGAATCTGACAATCCTGATGTGATTACCAGTTGTAAAGCTTTTCAAAAGCTCATATAGGAATGTTACAGAGGTGCTGCAGTTATACCCCTTCCCAGGTTTCTACTCACAGGGGTGTGAGGGGGAGGACCAAGCTGTTATTTGTTTAATGAAAACTGTATTTACTCACAACTTGGAATAATTATGTCCTTTCTCAAGAGAGAAAGCTTCAGTTAGTAGCTGCTGGGAAGCTTGAAAATAGTATCAGTGGCCATAAAACCCCCCCACTACATATCCATTGTACTATCACCCAATTAGAAATGCAGTACAGGGACTGCCAAATTACCAGTTGGCTAATACTTCAAAATCAAGGACAAACAGCACATCACAATTCAATAAGGAAGGAGACCATGTCTACAGCACAATAATCATACCCTGACCTTCATATAGTAACTGTTTGATGGTTTTCAGCTGTAAAAATATGCTAATAGGATCAACAAACAAAGAGAAAAAAGACTTTGAAACAATGATGAATACAGATAAAATAGCTCAGTGAAGCTGAAATATTTCCACATGACAGCCAAACATGAGCTAGGAAATACTGCAATGCCTTTTCTGAATACAAAGATATATGCAAGCACTCAGCAACAGACCTTAAATGTCCTTATACAGGGGGAGAGACTGAGTATCAGTTAGATGCAAGGATTATGAGGCTGAAGCAGACAAATCTGTACTAACTCATTTATAGGCACTGAATACTTCTTTTTTCTTGACACTCTGGCCAAAAGTGTTGACTGTCCTGCTATACCTTTAAAAAAGGCTGGTCTGTGATGGAGTCTTTTCTGGTTGTCATACTTATTTGTCTGGATATTTTCATTTCACACCTTTTGCTAAAATCTGCAAAAAAAAAAACAGGATCTGTCATTATTCTGTCTGAGTTTTCCCGAGTTCCTGCCTGGAGATTAACAATAAAAGCTCCCTCAGCGTTCTCTGGATTCTCCTTAAACATTGCCTGGAAATAACAAAATGCTATGTGTCCATTCTCTCTGCCCTCAAGTTATCAACCAATACTGGCGACCAGATATATCCACACAGATAACATGATATGAGAGTTTATATTTCAAGGCAAATAAGAAAGAACAAAGAAAGAAAGAGAAAGCAAAAGAGCAAAGGCACAATGGCTGTTGTGGCTCTGTGCAGATGCTGCAAATGTGTTAATTTCATCTCATGTGAAAACCTGGCCTGTTGAGCCAATCAGCTGGGAAACTGAAGGCAGGAACCAGAAGTGTCATTGAGGTAGACTGTAAAACACAGAGGATGCCCAGAGGAGTAGAATGGAACAAGGGAAGATGTACTCTTAACATTTTTCTTTTTCACCAGAAAATCAGAGACTGGAGAGGCAATACCATTGAGTTGTACTAAAGTAACCTCCTGATCCTCCCATTCTCCTTAGACCACGCTAGCTTGTGGAGTTACTGCACAGGCAGCTACATCTTTCAGAGTATGTAATTGAAAGTTAGCAACACAAAGCTGTGGAGGTACATCATCTTGTATTAAGTGAACTTCTAGAGAAGGATGGTGCATGGAACAATGACTTGGATGCTTAGTGTAGTGTTAGTTTAGCTACACAAACATAGGTTTGTTACCTCAAGCCACAAATCAGAGATGATGTGAAAAGTACATAAGTCTTGGAGTGGATAAAAAGCCCATGTAAGTCTCTAGCAGACAACTACTGATGTTATTTAGTCCACCTTCTGGGAACTGCACTTTTTAAGAGAACATAGGTCTCTTCTGAAAAGCTACCAGAGGTCTAGCTGGTGCTTTGGGATGTGCATTGTACTGACACAAAATAGGCTACAAGAAGCTGAAAATTACTATAGAGCTGCTGTGAACAAGATCAGATGATCAGAGGGGTCCTAACTGACACAAGGAAAAGGGGTCACGTACCTTGTGGAATCAGAAAGGCTTCAACTGTGAGGACTTCAGAAAGGGGCAATACTTCGGAGATATTTGTTCCTTCTCATTCTTGCTTGGGTCAAGTAGCTTGGGAGAGTTGAGTAGCTGGCCATGTGGAAGGCTGCTCCTATCGCAGAACAGCACGTAACAGCAATTTCTATGGTGATAGAACCTGTCACAGGCACACTGCTGTGGTCAGGAAGGAGACTATCCTTGAGAAGAAAAGAAATAAGTTAGTGAAGAAACACTTGTTCAATTATAGGAGCAAAATAATGCAGTTTTACAACTATTACTGGCATTTTTCAACCTGGTATGCAGCACAAGATCAACAGAAGTCATTGTGGGAACTGTCTTCTGACCAACTACTGCACTAGCTACTAGAAAATATACTTCTTCCCTGTTTTCTCCCTCATTATTTGTCTCACGCCAGTCATTTCTGTTTCCTTCAAAGTAACACAATCATGCTGCAGCTCCAAGAATGAAACTGTTCCATCAGATCATCACTGTTATGTCTCCTGCTGCAAGTATGCACTTCTGCCATCCTTTTCAAGTTGAAGCTAGACATGCTTTTTAACGCTGGTGAGCTCAAAGGAAGGATGCCTCTTAGGGAAACACCCTCACAATTCATAAGCAGCACAAAACTGAAAGCCCCAGGTATGCCTATTTAAAAATGATGAAAAGAAGACTGCTTAGATCAAATATTAGCGACCTCTATAATTTAGCCAAATTATGTAAATCACTGAGGGCCATTTGTAATAATTTATAATCTAGTATAGAATATTTCATATAATTGGAACACTGACAGAAAATCTACGTTTGCTTTTCTTCTCATGATTTAAATGTTCACCCTAAGAAATCATTTTAAAAACATGAACAGTTTGTCTACTGTGCAATGTTCTTCTTGTAACATTGTAAAGAGGTGACAAATACATGTAATTTAATGCTGTAGAGCATAAAAGACTGAAAGGGGAAAGTCAGATAAACCAGATTAGGTCTTTTTGTTAACAGGTTGCTTTTGCTTGTTCTTTAGGGGAGGAATACACCTATTTTCGTATTTATATGTGCTCAGTGAAGATATTCTAGGCCTAAATGTACCTCTAAGGCACTACAGCAGCAAATGCATTATTTTCAGAAGTTGGAAATTAACTCACTTGTGATTCTTACAAAGAACAAGGTGGATATGAACTTTCATTACTGCAAGGTAATCGCCAGAATGAGGGTATCATGTTTGATATTCCACAGCCTCACTTCCACTGAAGTTCAAGAAGAGCACACATCTGACCTGGCTCTGTTTTCCCAGCAAAAGAACTTTAAAGACAGACTTGTGTTCCATGAGTGACAAACCCTGAGGGAAGAAAAATTTGTTACAGATCAGAGATGTCAGAATCTGAAGCAAGCAAACATCAGATGTTTCTATACAACACAGCAAAACAACTTACCCTTTCTTGCAAAGACTTCTGGAGACCAGTAGCTGAGTGCGTGTGTCTGGCCATGCACAAGCATGCATGTATAGACACTGCAGCCGAGTCACAGATGTGATTAGAAGCAACAAATGCACTGTTTGCCCACAGCAAATATTTTTGTTCCTCTATTCCATCCTATAGTAGCTTTCAAAAGAAAGACCTTTGTTTTTCGAGGCAAGCTTGCTGGCATGAACAACAGACTAGCCAAAACCAGTATAGATGTGCCTCGGAAAAGAAACACCTTTACTACCCGTTGTAAGCAGAGAACGCCGCCAGGCTTGTTTTGCTGGATGCATCTAACATTGCTTTAAAAGTAGAGAAAAAAAAAATCAGTAGCAGAGATCAGACGAACTGTAAAAGGGAACATTTGCTTTATGAGTTTCCCTCTCATCTGACTTTTGTTAATGACTCCTTGACTAATGTAAAGAGGAGCACATCAAACACTGCACAAACTACCTCTACGCAGCAATTTTATAGCACATAAACCTCCCATGTTCAGTTTGGCAGTCCCACCTTACTCTGCAGCTGACTGCACAGACAAACGGATGGTTTATAGGTACCAATACGTCAAGGGCTCTGATTTTTTACCATGTAACCAGAGTTTTCCCTATGAAAATGGAGTTACGGGAACCTGGTTCTTTGTTGACCAGCTGTTATGAAACCTATTTTATTTAGCCAGTCTATCCATAAGCACTCTCAGCCATTCACCTGGCCAGGGTGTTATGGAGACCAAGTGTTTGAAAGGACCTTTCCTTTCCTTAAATCCTTGGCTATTACAATAACCGTTTTATTAACTGCCTTCCTCCCTGGAGTAGGAGATGTTATAGTTTCCCCACAACTTCACAGTTGGGTATGTCACAGTTTCCAAGGTACTCTCACACTGTTGAAGTGACTGGCATTTCTTCCTGCAGCAGGACTGTGTTCACATGAAGGTCCTCAGAATCAGAGAGCTTCCTTTTTCTTTTAAGGAATCAATACATTCATTAGTAAAAGGGTCCCAGGCCAAAACTCCATCCTTCAATCAGCAGCAGTGAACACAAATTGTTAACTATGTGAAGAAACAAACCAGCATCTCTGGCCTAAGGGTGTGTTGAGTTAACTGGAGTAATCTTTATTGAGATATCATGTTCCTGAGCTCTCACTGTCAGGTGGCAAAGATCAATCATCCCTGGAGACATTCAAAGCCAGGCTGGATGTGGCTCTGGACAACCTGATCTAAAGATGTCCCTGCCCACTGCAGGCGGTTGGACTGGATGAGCTTCGAAGGTCCCTTCCAACCCAAACCATTCTGTGACTCTATAAGCAAACCTAAAAAGCTTGCCTTCCGCTGCATGTTCAGTCTGCTTCTTCCCACAGCAAAGTGTGTGATCCGAAGCGAGGAGTTGCTGTCCCTTCCCTCTGAAACAATCCTAAAGCTCCCAAGTCTTTGATATATGCCTCATGTGGCTCTTTGCCACAGGAAAATCTCAGTCTGTGGCTCATAGACACTGAAAGTTTGGCCATCTCCACTCTTACAGAACACTAGCCTCTAAGTGTTGCTTTCCAGGCAGCAGTAGTGGAAAGAAGCCAAAGGTTGAATTGCTTCTCCGCCTGAAGTCTGTGCAGTTGAGATCTGAAGGGTTTTCCCCTTTTCTGATAAGGCAAGGATAAGGATCTATAGGCAGGCAGCAGATTCGGTTATCCGTAAGTGGTAAAAGGCATTGCAGATACGAATTTCACTCCTACACACTAGTGTCTGTCCTTGAAATAGGTGTCACTAGAAGAGGTAGAGAAATGCTTACACATAAAAGCAGTAGATACAAAGAACACTTTCAGGACCTTGTATCCACACATGACTCCTGACCTGGGAAGAGAGTTAGGTCAGCTTTCATTGAGATGAGGCTTGTTTTGTGCTGTTTGTTTGGGTTTTGTTTAAATACAGTTGAAGCATTCAACCTTCTTAATAATAAATAATCCTTATTAATCCTTTTTATCCTTAAGATCCCCATACTAACTCAAGTTTTAATTTGCTGAATAAGTATCGTAGGGACTTTAAAACTGTTTCATTCCAACAGGTTCAAGGACTGTTGTAACAGCAATGTCTTACATCTAGTACCAATATGAGCAGAAGCAGAATTTATTCTCCCAATAGAAAGGTCTTGGCAGTGAAGAAAAGCAACTTAAAATTCAGCATTGCCTGGTAATAGTCAGCCATGCAAAATAAAATGGTCTAAAACCCAAAAAGATACAAAATTCAAGTAAGAGCCTCTAATCATACAATAACAAGTCATGGAGACACCTTTCTTTCTGGTCTGAACTGGTGATCAACTTATGCTCTGGACATTTAAAGGAGAACATGCTTCCTGAGCAGTACTGTAGAAATCCTATCCAGAAAAGTTTCCACTTTGAGCTTAAAAGGAAACAAAAAGGTGTTATTTCTAAGAACATTTAATATTGGGTCTAAAGTGCAAGGAATTGGGGCAAAGAACTAGAAAACGGAGTAGGCATGTTTCCTACTGCTCTTCTACTAAACGAATTATCTCACCAGTAGTAACAGACCTCCACAGACAGAAAAAGGTACATCCACGCTCAAACTTGAGCAGCAACAAGCCAGGCAGGACTGGTCCCGAAAGATTTCAATCACAGAACCCCAATTTAACTCACTCATTTGGCTTCTTGGGCAGCTATTCTTAGCTCAGTGTCTCAGAGCAGGCTCTGCATGGCAATCACAGGGTGCTACAACAGACACTTCTAGGGACAGCACATTGATCTTATAGCTGTACTGGTATATGGAGCAGCTAGATGAGTACCAATTCCTTACCTCTTCATTGCACTGTGATTTTTAGATACACCATAAAGTTCATGTAGGAAGCCACATAGGGAATCGTGGCAGGGGAGTTGGAAGCAGATGATCTTAAGTTCCTTTCCAGCCCAAACTAGTCTGTGATTCTGTGATTCTATGGTCTTAGACCAAAGCCAGGTGTCTTTGAACTCAGTTTGTGCACAGTGTGGATTTCATGCCTGTTGATCCCATGTGACAGCTGATCTTCAGCTGTCTAGATGTTCTCCTGTCATGCTGCCTGTCCTTTATACCTTGACTGCACAAGTCTTGGTTATGGAAAGAATTTGGAGTGTTTGGCAAAATCCCAATAATTGACAAGGGGTTGGAGGACAAAATTAATTTCAACAGAAACATCCAGGATGTGCTTTATTAATTCAACTCAAAAAAAAAAAACAAAACCTTGGCAGGGAATGTAATCTCTTAATTGTGAGCACTGGGCTTACAGTAACTGGGCTTGATGCTCTGAATTTCATTTCATTGCCTTCAACCAACTCATTCGCTTCAATTATTCAACAGTACTACAGCAGAAGGGAGGTAAACATCAAAAAGGTGAAAATGAACTCAGGTTTTAAAACTGAACTTAATTCATTAGAAACCATTACTTGCAATGCACAGAAATTAAAAGCACCCAGGAGATGGTGCTTTAAATGGTGTCGTTGCCTCCAGCGACAGGATAGAACTGTTCTCTGTTACACAGACCCAATACTGAAGTTTTCAATTGCTAGACTTTTCAGTCCTAAAAGAAAACCTGGTTCCTCAAACTAAATATTAATAAATAATACACCCTAAGACATTTATGTTGCAAAATCATAATATCAGTAAAAAATAGGAGTAAAAAGGAAAGTTAGGTGGGCCTTGGGCAACATGGTCTAGTGTGAGATGCCCTTGCCCACGGCAGGGGGTTGGAACTGGATGAGCTTAAGGTCCTTTCCAACCCCAACCACTCTACGATTCTATGCTTCTCTGATTCCATAAACCAAGAGGTCAGCTAGTCAATTCCAAATTCCACCCAGCAAGTCTACAGCTATATTCTTACAGCAGAGATTCGTGTAACTCACTTTTAAACATCTTCAGTGATGGAAATTTCACAATATTCATAGCTACTCCTTCACTCTCCTTGAGTTTGTGCTTATGTCTATCCTCAGTCTGCCTTTCTGCAATTCCAGTCTATGCTTCTTTTTGCTCAGCATGGGGATGATTATTACCTTCCTCTCAGAAGCAGCCTTTAAGGATGGGAAGACCATTGGGATGTCTTCTTTAGCCTGAATAGCCCCACTTCCTTCAGCCCCTAAATGGCAGTGAATGTGAACATTCAAATTTCAGGAGCACTGAAGAAGATAGAAAGACTTTAACCTTTGCACTGTATCTCATACATAGAATTTAGTCTGGGTTTTCACTTTTTCTGTAATTATTAAATAGAATATAGTGAAGAGGATTTCTCCATTATAAAAACAGGGGTGGAAAGTGTATTTGCACAAAGAGTTTATAATGCTGCCCTTGGTTTTTGAGAGGAAGCTGTTAACAGTAAAATAAACAACTGTGTATTCAGAGCTGCAAGCCAGACTTCACATTCCTCCAAGAGATTTCCCTTGTGCAGTCTTTTAGCTTCACGGAATACAAGTTCATAAACATTTTCTTGTTCTAATCAGAGCCGTGGGAAGCCACAGGCCTCCCATGTTCTTTTGTATATCAAAGACATAAGGTTTGAGTCTCATTACACTGGTTAGGAACGACACGGTCTTATGAACAGGCAGAAGTATTTGTATATTGTGTACCAGAAATACACTTTTGTCTTGCTTACTTAAAGGTAAGACACTTCAGAGTTCATAAGCAGTGCCTGTTACATCGTGTATTTTCTTTGCTTCTTTCACTTCTCTCTGTTCTATTCAGATTTAAGCAAGGGAAAAAATACACGTTCTTAGTGATACCCTTGCAAATCCCTTCTGGTAGGAGAATTTACTTAACGTTTTGGGGAGGCACACTTAAAACTACTGAGGGAATGGGGAACCCCATGTAATAAGACTCACACAGTTCCTTCTGTTATACGTCTCCAGGAGATCAACTGATACCAGAGGAACTGTGCTTTGTGTAAATGTATGCAGTATGGATGGGCTGATATTTTAGTTTCTTTTCAATTCACTCCTGGAAAGAATTTTGATTACTATTCTAAGAGGATACTGTGCTCTCTAACTGTTCTGTACGTAGCGCCTCCTGGCAGTGCAATCCTCCAGCATCTATGTGCCTCAGTTCAGAGCTTCCTCTTCCCTAGAAAGAGTGACCAATAGCCCACAGCTTAAACAGGAGAAAACAAAGAAACAAAACAACTTTCAGGGACAATGAGAGCAGAAATAATGGCTCTTCAGGGAAGTAGCAATACTATCTGCCAAGGGTTTAAAGAAAAGGGAATGGAAATTAAGTTATCCAATAGACAAAACAGCCAAGTCAAATAACACTGACATCGCAATGCCTGTATCATCCTTTTGCACTGTTCCACTGATGCAACTCCATAGCAGTGTCACTCACGTACAGAATAAATCTGGAGCCATTATAAACCATAGGTCAATCCCAGAATGCTGTGTCTGTCTCATGGTTGTGGAGATGGATGGTAACTCAATTAGAAATGCATAATGACACGTGCCAATGGGATCTCTCCCTTTCTTATGTTCTTAACCAGAAATCATTTATCTAACTTCCAAACCAGCATTTACTTACAATTTCCCCCAAATATCTAAAACCGTTTATGGCATTATCAAAACTTGGTGTCTGTAATAGAATGAATTCAGTAAAATATAGATTACCAATAGAATATTATTAACAGCTTAGACAGATCAAACAATATTAAGCTTTCCAATACGTCAGCAAACGATGTTTCCAGGAAACTAAAATCAAACCAGCAGGGCGTAGATTTAGCTATTCTTTGCTTCACAAGGTGATAATGAAAGGAAAAAAATAAAGAAATGTCTTGAAAGTAATTTTGTTAGGCCATTACTGACAGGAGGTGAAGAAAGTGTTATGAAATCTATCAGAAATGAACAACCTAGCAATCAACGAGTGATAGTTGTTTGAAAAAGAGTAACTAAGGAACAGAGCTATGTGTCAAAAGAGGAAGACAAGCAAACAGAATATGGCACTGTATGAAAAGAACAAAATCCACTGCAGCCATGATTTTAGAACAACATAGTTAAACCAAACCAGCTCCTTAACTGGCTTAGTAACGGACAGCAAACACAAGAGATGCTGCAAACTTGACTTGGACAATTCCGTCTGGGTGCAAGTACAAAAGCTATACTTGCTATTCTTATGTATGTTCATAGAGTTAAGAAAGCTTCTTTGACTCTCCAGTTGCTTATTCTCAGGATGAAAGAACCAAGATGTATTTGCAGTCTAATAGTTAAGTTGCACATACAGAATTAGGAAACAGATAAACCTCCGTATTTACTTTTACCTTTCCAAGGTCAACAGATGACGAAATAAAGAATAAACTCTCTTTTTCTTTTCCTTCTCCCACCCAGTAACTTTCAACATATGGAAATAATGTTAGTCTGCACTGTTGGAAACTGTTGCCTCCCCTCACTTACAAAAATTGTCTTAACAGAGAAGGTAGCTTAGCTGGATGTACTTTTGGATGCACAAAAGCTGGACGGACCTTTTGCCATACTGTTCCTAGGTAAAGCTACTTTATTTTTTTAAAACCTACTTCATACAGATAAGGAAATTACAATTTCAATCTCTAAAGTATGGCAAAGTTTTATAGAACTATAAAGCAGGTGATCACAGAGGCAAAGTCCTTTCTAAGAGGAAGCGTTTCCAGCCAGCTGATAAAATTCTAATCTCCAGTTCACTAGCTGGAAGTCATTGCTACAAATCAGGTAAGTCCAAAAGAGCAAACATGGAAAGAGAGATATGAAATACTTTGAATATGAATATGAAATATCCTTGAATACCCTGAAAAATAAACTATCAAGAATTTCTCTGTTTAACATTAAAACTCAGAACTGAGAGGCAAGAGAAAAGGAGAAAAAAAAACCAAAAAGCTATGTGTAAAGAGGAGAAGAAATACCCCACTTTGATCTTTGTGGCCACTCAAGTCCTCTCTACAAAGATACTGACTTCTGGTGAAAGATGCTGAATTCCTATGGCCACAGCAATGAAAACATACAAAGAGAAAATGACTGAAGAGTTAATACTACAGGTATAGAGAAAACATTACATTGTTTTTTCACCCCTTCTCACAATGCTGAAAGAAGAACTGGATGCTGACTTTAACAAAATCCTTCTGGAGAGTAAATTTATATTGCCAGCAACCCTGAATACAGGACTGAAAACCACTAAATGTAATCTAAGTGTGGCCATGTGTTCTTCATGTCTGGTTGCAGTGATGATGTCCTGCATTTCTCAAGGTATGACTGGGTTTCCAATGATTCTCGCACAAGTGAGAATCTACTGGAGGAATCTACTGCAACTACACTAGCCCAAAGTACAACGAATGGAAGAGAGCTTAACACTAGATGGCAATATGCCTTTGCAAGTTATTTCTCTGAGGTGCCTGTAGATAGAGGCAAATATTTTCCCAACTATTATACTATTTCTCAGTTCTTGTGGAGGTTTAGGCATACAGGTTTTATTTGGTTTGCATGAAAATAAACTTCCATGCTATTGCATTTTTCTCACGGTTTGGCTTAAATCAAGTTCAGATGATATTCCGATCTAGAGCTGGCCCAACAGAAGGGATTCACTGTTTAGCTGAAAGTAAACTATGAATTATTCACTGTTCAGTGTGTGTGGAAAACATGTGCAGAATTACATGATGAACACTGACCAATTCTATCATGCTTGGTGAAATGTACATCAAAAGAAAGCTGAATTTGTGGGCTACCACCTTGCATCTACTGATACAAATCAGACCATGAAACTAAACATTTATCTCTTAAACTCAGGGCTCCTTTGGGTAACATTTTCCCCCACTACCTGAAGCATTAATCCTGGTTATTTATTCTGGGCTCCTGCCTAAGCATGTAGGCTCTACTGAAATCCAAGTCAGTTATGAAGGCAGAATATCCTGGATTATACTCCAGTTGTCCAAGGCACTTTGGCTGGTTTACCTGTGCTTAGTGCAGTGCTTTCACAAATTCCTTGGAAAGCCCAACATGTTCTAAATCAAACCTATAAACCCACACTTTTTAAAACTAAACCTGCATTATAATTATCAACTAAGTGGCTAATGAATGGTTGGTTGGTTGTTTCCAAAAATGATCAGTATCTGAAGGTAACATTAATCTGTCTCAGCAGCAGCAGCAGCTCAGAAAGGCCTTGGCCAATACCTGCATACCTCCCTTCTACTGGCACTTCTTTTTATATGAAGATGGGTCCCTGAAGCTATTACCACTTTCACACACAACTTATTCTCCCACCAACTCAGCAAGAGATCCCAAAACAAAACAGCAGGTTAACTGCCAGTACCATTTTGCCCATATATCATTTTAGCTATTGCCCTCTGGATAGTCTGTCCCACATTTCTGCAAATGGCACTTTTACACCGTTTGTACTTTTTATGGATGTGTCTGAAGACAAATATGGACAACACAGGAATTATAGTAGGTAAGGGAGTGGGACATCTTTTCAGGCTGCTTTGTAGAGGCAGATCAAAATACCTTACAGAACAACCCCAATGCCACTTCTAAATTCAGTGGAAGTCTGCAAAACATCTCAATTTCTATCACCATGATACACGATATTTATTTTAGTCTAATTTAATGTGAGAGAAACTGGATATATGGCCTAAAGCAAAACCACAGTTGCTTCTAACAACCGTATTGACAGTCAACGAAAACTTCACTGATAAAGGTCACACTGGAAATGCCAAGAGAGCTTTGAAGTAATGCCACCGTGAAGCCTAGTTAGTATTAACAAGCGCAGTGCAGTGGCATAAAACCAAAGTCTTCCATTGCAACAGTTCTGACAGTTTCGTTCAGAAAATATTTAAATCAATCACCAGCTTCTCAAAACACACTTGATCAAAAACGATCTGCAATGTGCCATGAAAGGATGCTCACGTCCTAGCAGAAAATGCTTCACTGATCAAAATGAACAAGAGCAGAAATGACCAGAAAAGCCAAGAATCCAAAGAGACTGAAGGATGATAACAGCACAGAATGGAAAGAAGGATGGAGGGGATGCTAGCTCTGAAGTAAGCAGCTCATTTACTAATTCTTCACTCTTAATTGAGGATTTAAGTACCAAAAACTAAACTACATGGGTAGATGATGCTCGTTACCAGTAAGATTCAATATTTATCAGCAATCGCTGGCTTGTGCTTGACCTCAGCTTGGGTTTGTATAAAGGACTTTTTGTTTCATTCCAATAGAAATAAAAACATTATCAAAAGAACATTTCTTGCCTCCCACATATTTGCATTTCAAATTTTGCAGCATTGTGTTAGGGCATGATCAGAAATCATTCCAGCTGAGCAGAACAATTGCTTTAATCGTAGTTATTGTAGCCTACCTCAAAGTTAAATATAATTATTAAAGTCTGAAGAAAGCAGCAACCCAAACCCCTCAGGTATCCTAATGTGCACATGGACAATAGCTTGATGCTTGATTACACACAGGGAGGTTGTTGTTTGGACTTATGTCAGCACCTGGATGAAACACTTCAGCTTTATGCCCAAGCTAGACAGCTGTGATGATGGCTGGCGGGAGGAAAATGTTCCTTTCCTCTAATACAAGAACTGTCTCACCTCATGCTGTCAAATTTAACATGACCCTCTCAGTCCCACACAACTCCTTAGTAAGTCTAAATGACTGCCTAGTGTCAGTGGTCTAAAGGCCTTTGTCTCCTACCAATTTGCTATAAACTTTAAGTGTTCCCTGCAGTGGCAGTCTGGTTATGTGGTACAACCATCCATCATACCCAAAACAAGGTTGCTGGAATGCATCCACAGAAAAAAGAATACAGGGCTTTTACACTGCCCAAAATTCAGGTTTGTGACTCACTGGTAGCCTAAGACAATCACCACCACTCTGGAATAATGTCTGCTAAATCCCTGTGTTCTGATATTATAGTAATCATCTGTTAAGACACAACTACCAAGCTGCATGTTAATCTGGAACTCCTCCATGTCAGTCTTGCTTGGAGTCATTATTTCATGATGACAAAGGTGAATCACATGGGACTGGAGAGAAAGCGCTCACGTTTGAGAAGAGGGAGCTTTGCAGTCCAGCAAAACTCCACATGAAGACTGGATCTAGAATTTGATCTCTTTTTGTATCATCACTGGGAGCCAGCTTTTTAATAATGCTTTTTTGTCAGAACAGGGGGAGGAAATTGATAGTAACATCCTCCTTTTCCTGTATATTTAAGCCCCTGTAAGCCAGTGCTACTCCATAGAAGATAAAGAGCTAATCCAACCCATATCAAATGAGGATGTGGAGCAGCAAATACATATATCCAAAACACAGCCAAAAAAATGCAGAAGATCAGAAGGTGCTGAGAAAAACATCAGTGCAAGAACAGCTGTGCAACCCTCAAGGGAAATATATTTAGAACAAGTTCACCAGCGTCTGTGCAGTTACTTTATATTTGCATTAGTGTAATGAAGAAGAAGCTGGTTACTGTGCAAAACAAGTACTTTATTTCAGATGGACATCAGAAAGGCAATTGCCCAAAATACTGAATGGCCTAAGAACAACCACAGCCCTACTCCTTCCAAGCGACAGCAAGAACTTCATGCTCAGCTTTTTAGGGCCCTTGTTACCCCTGCAGATTCCTCTATTTGCAGGGTGCAGATGCTCCATTTTGTTCATCCTTCTGGCAAGTCTCAACCCAGCTCCTCAGGACAGCTGAACATGCCTCTCACTCGGTCTTAAAATGAACTGAAAGAATATTGCATGCTAGCACTGAAATCATTAACAGAAAGCGTGTATCTGATTGGGGCAGAATGCTTTTTGAGGTGGGGGTAATGTGTCCCTGAGGCACAGGCATGGTGACACAACATGCCTTTGTTTTCCTAACATAAAGGACCAAAGAAGTCTACGTTAAGCATTAGCCAAACAGAGGCAGCTGATACCTATCTATTTAGATACTAAGCAAGTGACTTGGAAATGTTCTGTTCTGTCTGTTAGTTCACCACACCTGAATGAATGATACCCTCACTTTTCTTTATTGTTTAATCCCAGTGTGCAAGCAAGAGACCAACAGGTACACTGTAAACCAAAGGACACAGTTGACTCTATTCAGGGACAGGCACAGCCCTGATCTGACTGGGGCTGAGAAAAGAAGACATGAAAAAGGCATGGAAGTGGACATGAACATCAAAACTGCAAAAGCCACAGAGTCATGATTTCAACACCACAGGCTGGAATGAGTACCCCACTAAGGGACATTTCAGCAAGGGGAATGGAGGGGAGGCAGGGTTGAAGTCCTCCTATACCTACCTCCTTCTCCCCTCACTAATTCTACACTGCAGTCTTCTCCTAACATGCTTTTATCAGCATATCTTCAACTGATTCTGATCCTCCTCCACTGTCAATGAAGTAGCATCTCAAGCCACAAGGCCAATCCTACACTGTGTTTGAATACCAAGCAGATTTCACTTTACACTTACAAGCTGGGGAAGGGGGCTTTCTCCAAGCATCACAGCTTGGAGAAGATTCTCCATATTGCATTTTTGAGGTAGAGGGCTAAGTTTTGTCCATTGGATTACTAAGCTTTTAAACACAGTAACAGCACTACCATGAAACTACTTTAAAGCACTGAAGGACTGTTAATGAAAACTTACAATCCCTAAACAATGTCAAAGGACCAGCAGCATTTCTTAGGACACCGACTTCTCAGATAGCACAATACAGGATGCAATACAAAGCTGTACTTTTACTTGTTTGAAAATAGCATGTTTATCACAATCTCATAAATATTTCACCAAGTTTATTGGTAAGATAAAGGCATATGATCTACACCTCATGTATTTTCCTTTGTACTCCCAAGGCAGTGAGGGAGGTTCATTTATTGCCTTTATCATTACCTCCTCCTCTTCCACCTTCCACTGTTGTTTTAACACAGGCTGCAGGCATATTAAAGAATCAGTTACCTCGACTTTGAAAGTAGCTGTAGTTTTCACACCTCTCACCACATGCAATGAGGGATTTCTGCAGGTATGAGTTAGCTGCCAAGAAAGCTCCATCTTCTGCTCTCTAGAGTTTTAGTCTCAGGAACACCGGTACATGGCACAGCACTGTTTCATTCTCCCTCTGTGACCTTCAAAAGAAGTAGAGTTAACCAACTTGATTTACTTTAAAATAACTCCAGCCTTTTATGTATCTCTTGCCACAGAACTAGCAGCACCAAGATCAAATCAAAGGAAGTAAGTATCAGATTTTACACTAATATTTTGCATCACCAAAGTAAGAGTAATTTCACCTTTCTTGTTAATCTCACAGAAAGGGTGAGGCAGAGGCTGCTTGAAAAGCTTCAAGTTGTACCTTTCAGCTCCTGTTGTAAATCTGCTGTCACTACTAGATATACCTACGGTATCAGAAGAACCCAAATGGAGCCTTGTGATTCTGAGAAATCACTTCTTTTCCCTCAGCCATACAAGTTGGTCTCATTAAAAACTTAGCCTTGCAGAGCAGTGTCTTTCAGGAGCAGCATCTGGTGTCACATCCTGTAGAAACAGCACAACACCATAGTCTCTTCAAAGAGGCTTTTGAAGTATGACAGCCAGTGGAGGCAGGAGAACGTACCGGGTGTGAATAGCTTTAATCAGTTGACTCATATCTCCCCCAGGTCCCTCGGTTTTTAATTTCTCTCTCAATAAATGTGGGCAGCTCCCCATATCTTCTATTTCTGCATGAGTGTGTTAGACTTGTCAGGCACAAAAGCAGAAATGACAGATGCACCACCTCGCACCAGCAACGTCTGACCTCTGAATCTTTCATAGAGGAATCTCTTTAGCTCTGACAGATGGGAAAGATCTGGCATTGTTACTTTGGGGAAGTGATCCCTCTAGAGAAGCCTATATCTAATAATTATGAAGAGAAGGTTTGTTATTTGTGCTTGAGCTCTCTTGTGATTGTATAACCTTTTTGGGTAGCAACATGCCTTTTCTTTTTCAGTCATTTCTTCTGAATTCTGAAACACAGAGAGCTTTTGATCACTAAGAATCATCCTCAATTTTTACATATTAACAGGGCTTTCATTAACACATGAATGTGACTGAACATAGACCAATAAGCTTGTAACATCAATCCTGTCTCTTGCAACACCGTCTGAGCTAGACTTTTTTCTTCACTTAAGGTCTATCAAGGAAATGGCAGAAAGAACTCGATTTGTGCATTCTGTAACAATGTTTGCAGCAAGAGACATTATAAAACTACAACATGTACCTAACTATGAAATTCTGGGGGATAGTTCTAGAGACATAGTCAATCAATTTCATCCATGTACCTTTATTTTCCTGCCCTGACTTTAGGCTTAACCCTGCTCCTGTGCAACAAAACATTCTGCTGTTTATTCTTTCTACAGACCACAGAAACCCAGGGAAAAATCCAGGGACCCTTTATAAAAGAACACTTGTCAGCACTGCTCCTTCTAGCTTTCTAGCACAATGCGTTCAGAGAAGACTCTCCTGGCACTAGGAAGGAGGATGGTTTACTAGTTCTTTTGCATACAGCAAGAGACAGCATATCTGCAGCATTTTCACTTTTGGGAAGGCTGACTGACCCATCCTAAATCCTAGGTTAAACAGTAGAAGGCAACTTCTAGTTCTTTACGTTCACCTGCCTTGCAAGTGCAAGGGGTAGGAATTAGAGGGCTGAGATTCCATGGCATGCTATACAAAGGACACAGAAATGGAATACAATTGCAAAATACACTTTTCATTTCACATATTCCCTGAAAAGCACTAACCCAAGAAGGGAAAGAAGAGAGAAGGGAAGCTCACAGCCCACTTTCAGACTTCACTGAGCACAACTGGCTCCTCCCCTCTTAGATGCATACGTACTGTATCACCACATCCAGGGACCTTAGTGTGCAAAGCAGCTGAAAGCTACCATCAGGATGAGAGCGAGGCAGCTGGTGTGTGGAATCTGGAGTCTGTGTTTCACGTTCTGCCTTTTCTGCATCTTTCTTCACCAAACGACAGCTAAAAGAAAACTGAAGTTTGTGTCTGTAGTAAGTAGATAGCTCACGGGCAAATAGAACTTGTCAAAACCTGTCACTTCCTGCTCTTCTTGTACCTCTGGGGGGGGCTTTCTGAATATTTGGCTCCTGCACATTCAAAATTCACTACTGCACTGTACAAAAAAATCCTCCGTTTTCAATCAGATTCTATCATTTTGTTTCGTGTGCAGTCCTACATGAACTTCCCTTTCTGGATTGACAAAGAGAGCTTTTTCTTATAGCACTGAGAGGGGAATTACACAGGATTCCTTTTTGAGCTGTACAAGAGGATTGCATAACTAAATATCAACTGTGCAAACCCCCTCATTGCCTTGGAAGGGTTTCCACTTTTCCGGTGGTTTCAATGGATTACCATGCAAACCAAATTTCACTCGCTGAAACCCAAACAAGGGCACAGTGGCACTGAATGAACAACACAGAGTCAGTGCTGGGAAACTGATGCTACTTGCAATGATTGTGCTGTACCATTTGTTTGCAAGAAGCCTGATTCTTGTTCTGAATGTCACACCAGCTTGCAAATCACTTCCATGCTCTTTGTGCTGCAGGTTTCCATTTTAGCTCTCTCTACATTGATTAAGAAGTAAAAAAACAAACCCATCTGGTGGTAAGATTTTAAAACGACAATCCACGTATCTACAGGAATTCTGCTGGGCAAGGCAAGGATTTGGTACAGGAATGAAAAATCTCCAAGTATCTTTATAGGCTGATCTGTATCTGAAGTGAAATTCCAGAACAGGTTCAATGTTTTCAGACTAACAGTTTAGTCTGCTATTTAGATTAGATGACACTTTTATCACCTCTGAATGCTGAAAAAGTCAACAAGTAGTTTTTTAAGGCTAAGTTCTGACCAGAAAGTGTTTCACAGCAGCCAGGCACAGAAAATGTAGCTAGAGAAGTAGCTGGGTGTTTTTCCTTAGGGATTCCCAGTTAGTTCTATCAACATATTTCTGGAAAATTACTTACATGCTTCTGTTTGTTTCCTGTTTATTTAATGCTTTGGCCTATAGTTCCCTAAATATCTAAAATATATTTAAAATATATTAAGATATATCATGGGTTTTATATGCAAAATATAAATATATATGCAATATATTAAGATACATCATGGGGGGTTTATAGGCATGGTTTTTAACATGCAAAAAAAAAGATGTTGAGCTGCTTGCTTTTCAAAAGGTAGGAAGAAAAGAGTTACATTTGTCTAACTAAATCAAACAGGTATTATAGCTATCCAGACCCAAGAAAAGCACCATGAATATATTTAGCATCTGTCAGATACAGTACTCACTGTCATTGCATTCCTTGTGACTGCACTAATTACATTCATCACAAAGGATCCCATTAAAGCAAAGGGAATTCCATGTGTTTTCCAGGTATTTCGCCATGGTGACCATACCCCACAGGAGTTTTTTCCAACTGATAAGCACAGAGAAGCTGGAAGGCAGCAAGGATGTGGACAGCTTACCAAGGTGCGTTTGCTTACCTGGGCCAATACACTGAACTATTGGAATGTGGTCTGTTGATACTTGGCTCTTGGAATTTTGTTTTCACTTGGAAAAAGCCCATATTAAATTGCCATATACAGATCTCCAAAAGGACAGCCAAAGAACTTACTAAAAGGCTACAGCTATGAGCAGTCACTGATTTTAAATGGCATTGAGTCAGCGTGTTCCAGTCCAAGAGCAACATGTGTTGACCTGTTCTATTGCAGACTAGGGTCTTTGGGAAGGAGCCAGGCACTGGTGACCATCACAGCTCACCTGAGGCCAAACACATCAGTAGGATAAGGTGGTGGAAGTGCTCATAAACCATCCTCAGTCTCTGCTGAGCACTTCCTAGCTCACAAACTACTAAGATCAGTAATAGCTGAATCTTCTCTCATGTTATGCCAGGGGAAGTTTAAAGCCATAGCTTTAGAGCTCAGCTATTTTAGTGGTGGAATACGGCAGAGCTGAGCTCGCAAACAAGCATCAGCAGATGGTAGTAACTAGCAGCAGCAAAGGCAACTCCAGAGGCCAACTGCAGAAACTGTGTCTTTGCATTAACTGTAAGTAACTGCCTCCTCTTGTGAATGGAGCCAAGGGTGAACTCCTGTACTATCAGACTCGAAGGGAATACGTGGGCACTACATGCTTTGAACCCTACTTCTGCTCACTCCCACCGGTAGCACTCACTGTGTCTGTGCTTCATTCCCCCAGGATATGTTGTTTGGATGGAAAAATCCACTAGTTATTTGCCTAGGATTCTGGGAACCAGGCAGTCTAGCCGAAGAAGTGCCAGAAGTCTGGATGTCCCAGATAAATGGGTATTATGCATGTGTAGGCAGACTGAAGTGTGTGTCGCAGGCTGCTCTAGAATAAGTTCACTCACACACCTTATGTCCAGCACAGTGGCGTATGTTTCTCTCTCCTAGAGGAACTAGTCATTTGCCAGGTCTCCAACAACCCAAACAGAACAAACTGCATGAGGGGTTCCTCTTCATCAACATTCTTAGGAGGCCAAACTGATCTTCAGTGCAAGGACAGGCCTGTTTCCTCTCACATCACCTCCCATGAAGAAACAGGAGTAACAGACCAGCTTCTTGTGCCCTAATTCAGCTGTGACTCACTCATTCCACAGACACACTATGCAAGTTCAGCACTACATGCCAGCTTGCTCCAAGGCATGGAAGGTTTCAGTACTCAGGTGTCAGGATTTAACAACAGACATATAAGGCAAGTTGGGGCAGAAACCTATGCCAAGCATATGCCCTAGGAAAATGGATGCACAATTCCAGCGACAGAAAGAGGTGAGCACATACACACAGAAGTGGGCCGTGTCTGACACTCTGGATAAAGCCCTGAGTAACTCAGTCTGACCTCATAGCTGACTCTGCTTTGAGCAGGAGGTTGGACTAGAGACTTCCTGAGGTCCCTTTCAACTTGAACTATCCTATGATCCTATGACTTAGAAAAGAACTTCAGGAAGCAATGAGTAATCACTGTACTTGAGATTCCAGTGCAGAGTAATGATTATTTCAGCAAAGTTGAATATGTTTCAATTTAGGTCAGGAAACCAAGTACAAGTAAAAAGATGACAATACGGAGGCCAGTACAGGGCTATTGCATGTGATTTTCATGTCATGTTTTTACAAAATTATGCTGGTAAGTTGGAAAATGTTCAGCAAAGAGCTACTAAAATGCTGAGTCTGGAAACCCCATTTTGCTATGAGAGTAGAGAATTGTCATCTATTTAGCTCAACACAAAGATTAAGTGACTTGATTCCATCTTATTATTATCTTACTAGGAATAAGATCTGTGATGGTATAGAATATGTCATTCCAAAGCCTAACAGGATCCAGTGGTTAAAGATAGGGACACTGTTAGGCAAGAACCAAGAATCATACATTTTAGGCTGCTGATATAATTACCCATTGCACAAAATACCTGAAAGCTTGGAGGGCTTTTACATGAAGTCTTCTATTTAAGATTTTCAATCTTCTTGAGAAATAAGATCTTGCTCAAGCTACAGCTGTGGCCTCCATAGGGAACTGCTGGCAATACTTTCTGTGATTCACATCCTGGACACATCTTCATGGACAGGTGGTTCCACTATGCAGACGGTGTTGAGACATCTATAAGCCTGCGTTAAGTCCCCCTGCCCCTCAGCCAGTCTTACTAGTTTGGGTAAGCATGCCTTCCACAGAGCAAAATGCAAAGCTGCATCAGGAAGGCATATCTTTCATTATCTGATACTGCAGACACAGCAACTTTACTGCTTTTTTCACCTGTCTTCTGTCCTCCTTCACTTTAGAAAGGAAAAAGGTCTCCCTCAGAATAATATGAAAAATCATCTCAATTTGTGGTTGTAGAAGAAGATGCATAATGCACTTCTGGAGCCTCTTACACTGTTTTGTTACTTCCACAGCTTGGCATACAGCAACAGTACGAGCTTGGCCAGTACATGCGGAGGAGATACTCTTATTTCCTGAGTGTTGCATACAAGCAGTGTGAGGCAAGTACTGTATCTGGGAGGAAGGATGTTTTTCATGGATATTAATGGAACTTCCTGAACGTATGAGAATCTGAAGCTGATGGTGGTCAAGAAAACGTAATATCCATTGAATCCAATGTCGTTCCAAAGTATTTCTGAAACTGTGGCTCAACTTTTACTCAGGCTGCTGGTTAACTCAAAAACACCATGTGAAAGCTTTTTAGGCTGTATATCAGGTTCAGATGCCTCAGTGTTTCCTGGCTCTGAGGATACTGGATATCTCCAATGCTATACTTCCATATGGAGTGCAGATACAGCTGAGTATTCATTTAGGGTCCAGCAGTCCAGTGCATACACATTGTGCCAAAGCCTACATGTTCAAATGGAGTGAGTCCTACTGCTTTTCACTAGGACTTCTAAGGGAAATGCTACCATGTTGCAGGTTCCTTGTCCAACAAGGTTTTATTCCAAGGCCTTGTTCCAGCTTCACTCCTTCTCCCTCCTTCTTCCTTATCATTTCTTTCACTCCACTCCACTTTAATGACAGCTTTCTCAGCGTAGTACCTGTCCCTTCCTTTCCTACCAAGGGAAAAAACCCAAAACAAAACAGGAAAAATGACCTTCAACAACTATTATTTTTTCCTTGCTTCAGATTTATGTTCAAAGCACTGATTGTGATTACACACTTACGAGTGCTCAGGCAAGTCTTGCCGGGCTGTACCCACCAACACAGGACCAGATTTGGAACCCTGGAATCCTTTGGCAGCCAATTCCAGTCCACACGGTGCCACTGTCACATGATAGGGTGAGTATAAACTTGCAGGGGCAGGGGCATTCGCTTGCCTTTAATCATTAGTAAAATGCCTAGGATATGAGCTGAAGGGGCAGGACAAAGGGCATGGTAAAGGCAATGAAAAGTACATAACGTTACAGGCATTGTGCAGAAAGGCCAAAGAAGCCGAGTAGAAATATTGAGAGTTT